TCAAGGAATTTTTTTGGTTTTTCTTGCCCCCCCCCCCCCCTTTATTTGTTTGTGTTTATTTATTTATTTATTTTTAGCTCCCACAAATTAAGTGAGAACATGTGGTATTTCTCTCTCTGTGCCTGACTAACTTCACTCAATACAATCTTCTCTAAGTCCATCCATGATAGCCACTCACCATTTCCAGGGACTAGAGGGGAATGACTACTTACAAGAAGTTTCCTGAGACATTTAGTTACCTTGAAAGTATTGATTTTATTCCCCAGTGACCAAGTGACACTAAGAGAAGCAGAAAAACCTATACTTAAAACACCTTTCTCTGTTAACAGAGTTTTGGCATATATCTTAAACCAAATAAAACAAAAGACAAACCTGTATGCATTTATAAGCTGAAGGGCCACAAGGCAAACAAATAAAGCTTCAGTTATGGCTTAAAAGGATATGGCTGCAACTCAAACTACTTTACCTTTCTTTTTTTTTCTTTCTTTCTTTCTTTCTTTTTTTCAAGTCCCATATAAAATTCTAACATTACTGAGTAATTGAAAAGAAAACTTTAAGGGCCTCACAGTTTTGGAATCTAGTGTTATATAAACCTGTGTTTGGTTTGACGTTGCTGGTCATGGCTGCAAATGAAAGTGATTTGGCTGAATAGAAAGTGTGAGTTTCAGTAGTAATGGGAGGAAAAAGAATTTCCCCAGCATAAACTGCCCTGCCCTGGTCTCCGACACACACACTCTCCCATGCTTCCCATGCTCAGCCTCCTAGGCCCTGTCATCTATATATGGTGGTACAGGGCAAAAAGGTATAAGAAGAGCTGGGCTAGGGAAATCAACCTTAGGCTTATTTATTTCCAAGAAGTCCTTAGGTCTTTTTGATACAGCCATTCACAATGTCAGTAATAACTTTTTAATTTTTCAATAATGATTTACTAATCACAAGTCTGTGATAGTAACATGAGGTTTCTGACATACCGTAGCCAAAGAAGAATATGAATTAGTTTAAGTCACATCAAAATGCGTCTAAATTATATTATGAAATGCAGTTGTGATACTGGCATTTCACTTAATCCTGGAATGTAAATAGCAAATTTTTCAGCCGTGCTGGCATAAATTTAAAATTAAGATAAAGAATGACTAAAATTACCTGAATGAAATTTCCATTTTAACTTTACAAATTAAGCAAAAAGCTTTAAAAACGAAGCTCCTTTCTCAAATTACACAAAGAAGGTCCACGGAAGTTGTCTTTACCTAGATGATATAGTTCAGCTGATAGGCACTCAAAAATTTACTTGAAACCCATGCTGCCTTACAAGGCTACTGGACCAGTGAGGTAAGCAAAGACCTCTTCTCTGATTGGGTAACTATGTGGCAGTCAATCAGTGAGCAGAGACAGACAGTAACATCAAAACACATTTTTAAGGATAATTTAATGTCAATGGAAAAATGAGATGTTCATAATACATTACCTTATACTTTCCTTTAATAATGCCTTCAAACAATCTTTCCTTGGTTCCATAAAAAGGCAAACAACCACTGAGCAGGATAAAAAGGATCACGCCACACCCCCAGACATCTACAGGCTTTCCATAAGGCTCTCTTTTGACCACTTCTGGGGCCATAAAATGAGGTGTTCCAACGCGTCCTACATTTAAAACAACATTAGGAAAAAATGTTTACATAAATGGGGTTTTCTACTTGAAAACTAAAAATAGAATAATCTGAATGAAAAGTCTACCAGTATAAATATTCTCTTAGCTCCTCTGCCCTCCCCATGAAATCAAGTTCACAGAAAGAAAAAAAATATTTATTTAATCACCTCTAGAGTCCAGGACAGGCACTTTGTCTTCTAACACTGGCATTCCCTATGGATTTTGCAGGCTACACAGTAGGTATTTACATATTTCTTGTTTCATGAAGAAGTTTAAATTTTCTAATTTTCACGTTTGAAAGTCACTAAAAATATAGAGTAGAGGCAGATGGAAGAGTCAGCAGACAGAGTCTGTAGCTGCCCAGGAAAGAACTGGGAGGCCTGCCCTGAGCAGAGGCAGAGGCAAGGAGAGAGGGGGCAGGAGTGAGAAAAAAATATATGGAAAAAAGATTACTTCTGACCACCAAATGGAAATTCTCTAATGAAACCTAATGCTGAGAACTTTTATTTGGAATATGAATTTGAACCTCAAATCCTGTTCAGTTGATTTTATGAGGTGATTGTAGCAATTAACAATGGTTAGCAATATTTTGTTATAATAGGAAATTTTAGCTTCCTCCCAACATTAACATTTGAAGAGAATGAGAACGAATATATGACGTAAACCAAAGCAAAATCTTGAAGCTTCTTCCATTCAATCCTCTTTGTCCTTCATCTTCTTTAAAGAGCTTTTTTCTTCATCTTCTTTTTTTTTACTTCTCTATCAAAAACTAGTTTTCCAGAAGGAATCTGATAACAGTTGTTTGCACATTAGTAACCATCTTTAACTCAGTATCCCAAAGGGAGTCTTTTCTTCTATTATGCTATGAAAGGCTTGTACCCTGCAGGGAAATTATTGTGGGGCAGGGCACTGCCCACTAGACTTGGCAGCTCTTCTAGATGTATACAGGCCCAGTTCCCTCTCTTCCTCCCTGTCCCTCTCTCTCTCTTATCATACTGAATTCAAGATCATTTTTACTTTGAAGATTGCACAATACTTTGTCTAGAGTTCAGAACTGTGGTTCAGAGTTTTAAAAGACCTTAGAGATCTTGTGGTCCAGCTAGAGAGAATATATCATCAAGTCCTGTTGGTGATTACCAAACTCAGCTGGGATGGAGAAGAATAAAGCAGCTCTTAGCTTGGGTATCGGGGATGTACCCTTCTTGCAGATCATTATGGTTTCCCTTCCTCCCCCCATAATAGAAGAGATTAAGTTCAGGGCTCCAATGATGAAAATATTTTCATTTAAAATGTACAATAGAGGGCTGGCCTGTGGCTCACTCGGGAGAGTGTGGTGCTGACAAAATGTACAATAGTTCAGTGAAAACTCTGCACTAGTGGGAAGGACCTGGCTAGAGAAATATTTTTATTTCTTTATTGCCCCATCTTGCTTCCTCAAGTAACATAAAGAAGCTGAAGCAGTGGCAGCTAAGCCTCCAATTTCATTAACAGCCTGGGCAGGGAGGGGCCACTGGAGAATTAGCCTTGTTCTGGTGGACAGGAGCTGGCAGGAGTAGGGAAAAGCAAGGCAAGAGTGCAGGGTACCATTCAGGGTACTGGTACCAGGGTACCAGGCAGGTACCTGCTGATGGTTCGGATGATGCTCTGAAACTCAACTTGACTCCTACCACTTCCCACACTTGAAAGGGCCAAGCCACTCAACATGGGGGCTTCATTCTGGGAAATATCAGAACCACCATGGCCAGTCCCAGCTATCCTGAGGCAGTTCCCTCCATTTATCTGAATTGAAGACTACCCATTCTGGAGAATCAGTGTTAGCTCTTGGGGAAGATGCATATCTTTTTGTTCAAGAATTTGCTCGTAGATGATAGGGGAAAAGATCATGTTGGAAAGAATATACAGGAATGTTCTTTTTATTTCATGTACATCAGTAGAATGTGAAAGGACTCGAATTAACCTTTAATATAGACCGACTTTCCCAAACTCCTTGTTTTTGCTGTTACTACTTTTCCTTCTTTGTGACGACTTGATTTTTATGACTTTGACCATAAAATTCTAAGAACAGGAAACCAATTACCAAACCAAATTAAATGTCACTGTTTATGACATACTTCAGATATATACTTAAATATTTAATATTATATTTTGATAATAAAATAAAACCTTCCTACCTAGAACCTCAGGGAGGAAGTTATTCTGAATACTTAATTTTCAACATTTTAAAATTAGCATCTTTATGCACACAACCTTTTTTACCTTAGTAATTTTGTATGGCTATCTTTCTACAATTTCCTGACTTCTTTTACACAGGATGCTGTACATAATTTAATCTTTTCTTGATGACTCAGAGTTGTCATCATGGATATCAATTAAAGAAATATGCTATAGAACAGAAAACACCCTCAGGAACTTCAGAGGTATGCAAGAGTTGATTTCTTCAGTATTAAAGGCTGCTATGCTTTCCAAATTTTGGTGTCAATACACTTTTTTCTGTCAGGTTTAAATTTCTTTTCTCTCACTATGCTTATTCCAGCCCTGGTTTCTCCTAATTTGTTGCTTATAATCTGCTATTAACTGGAAACTGACCAGCAACCAGATTCTTTCATTTAATAGCAATTTCTTAAGTGCTTGTTAGGTCCTAGACAATGTGGTAGGTGTTGTGGACACACATAGGGATAAGCCATGGTCCTCCTTACCCTTACAAATCTCAGTCTTTGATATGATTACAAGTCCCTGCATCAAATGCTACATGACGGTATGTAGCCCAGATAACTATGGTAATACGGAAGAGAAGAAATAGGGTTACCTAACTTGGGATGGTGAAGATCAGCTTGCTTTTAAGAGGAGACGATTGATTGTTAGCTCAGCCTTCAAGAACAGTGGAGTTAGCCAGATAGATAATATGACAAAAGGCATTCCAACCATAGAGAATAGCAGGTGCAAGGTATGAAGCAACTTTATGAAAAATGGGGGCGACCTCAGAGAGAGTATCTTTAGAAGCCAAATTAAGAGGACCATGAATAGGTTTTAAGGGTAGGAACAGTTATAATTATTTTCTAGGTTCCTACTTATATTCTAGATAAGTGAGTTTTCCAAATAGCTGAGTTTCAGATGGTGGAAGAATAAATACATTTAAATGGTTTTTACTATATGGAAGATATGGAGGAGAGAATTCCTTTCTATTTGGAGGACTTGGTGATCAAAGATTCCAACTGACAGGAAAATGTTTTTCTTGTTTTAGTTTTTGGCAGCTGGCTAGTATAGGGATCAAACCATGGACCTTGGTGTTAGTGGCACCACACTCCCACATCTAACTAACTGAGCTAACCGGCCAGCCCTGGCTCTCTGTTTTAAAGTTGGTAAATATTAGCAAAATTTCAAAAGTACCTTCAACAACAGGAAAACTTTTTCTAAGAGAAATCATTTACCTCTTATCTGCTCATATTGTATTTTTAAAAACATTATAATGCTTAAAGTAGTTATTTCAAGAATAGAAGGAAAGGTATGTTAAGAAATGATAATATTTTGATTTTTGTTTTGTCTTTCTTTTTAAAAAAATTTTATCCTTACACAATGTAAAAATTTTTTTGTGGCCCTTTACCAAGGGAAATGACAATATTTTGACCATCAGAAACTGTTTTAATTCTAGAGGCACAGAGAAAAATAAATTTTAAATAACTGACACACTGAGGGCTCAAAATTAGCTTTAAAAATATACAAGTTAGGGGAAAGGTTCATGGACTTTAGGAAAATAGGAAAAAATGTCCAGATAAATCTAATGAATCTATTTTCCCCTTCAGTCAAGATACAGAATAAAATATGAAGCCCATGACATTCTCAATACTAATAGGGTGCAGATCGAGAACAACAGAAATAAAGTCATTACATATAGCCAGTATATAAGCATATAAAAGGAATTCATTTCATTTCATCCCATTAGCCTTGGGGATGAAGTATCATCAGAAATTATTTGTTATAATGGTGCAGTCTTAACACAGGAGTGATCTGTACAAATACCGGATTTGAAAGAGTTAGTTGAACAGCAACGCTTGTTTAAACGAAAAAAAAATTAGGATTTTTAGTTGATTGCAAGACCAATATGAGCCATCAGTGTTATGTGGCTGTCCAGAAAGCTAATGCAATTTGAGGGGCCTGACAGAAATGTAAGACCCAGAGCAAAAAGAAGTGATGGCCCAATGCTACTGTGTGTACACTGTACCTATAGTTACGGTGTTCAGTTCTAGCCCTGTGCTTTGTGCACAGTGAGGAGATTCTGAGCCAGTTTATATGAGGAATGGCTAAATTAACCTAGGGGAGTTAACTTGGATCTGTAATAATAATATACTTATAATAAATAATATTAAAAAAAAGGATCATCTGCCACAATAACAAAAAAAGACTTGGGACACGTCTTCAAACATTCGAGTGGCTGTTATGTGGAAGGATGAAAATTGTTCAGTGGCTTCAAAAGTCAGAGTTAGGACACTGGGTGGAAGTTACAGAAAGATTTCTATTCACTGCAAAGACGAACTTTCAATACTTAAGGAGTTTTCCAAAAATGAAATGAATTGTCCTGGGACATGGTGAATTCTTTGCCATCTGAGGAATTAAACCAGAGCTCAATCTTTTGCTGGGAATACTATGGAAGAATTCAATCATTAGTTACAAGACTGGAAAAGTTAAAGCCCCTTGGAATCCTGAGATTCAATGATTCTATGATTAGATTAGATTACGCTTTATTACCTGACCCTTTGGTCAGTCTGTCAATCACTGACAGAAAGTTTTGAATTAGGAAAAAAAATGTCAGCATTCTTTGAAACTATATTCAACTTGCAGTTTCACATATTACTGGAAATGATTAGCTAGAAAAGAATGCAAAATTAAACATGATTTAATTATAGAGGGCAATGTGGTGAAAAAATGATTTAAAGAATACAACTATGGGGCCGGCCCGGTGGCGCACTGCTACAGTGCGCCGCTTGGGAGCGCGGAGGCGCTCCCGCCG